TTTCAATAATGTACCCCCTTTGAAAAAATAATTCAGCCAAGTACCCCCTGATCAGCGCAAAAAACAATTTGTTAAGGAAAAAATGCCTATATAAAGAGGTACAGTGCTGCACCATCAGTGTCTGATTTATTAAAACAACCTTGTAACTGAGAAACACTTAAATGCTACATTTCAAATGTTTACAATCCATCACTAAATTCATGGCAAACCAATTTTAACATCATGCAATAACGCTAAGACGACATTAGTTGCATTGAACTGATCTTTTTAATAAGTTGTACTTTCAATTTAGTGAGAAACATGGGCTTGTGCTTCACTGAGGATTTTTGTCATTCTGACAGGGAGGCAAACTGCAGTTATTACACTTTGCGTTTTGAAATATGTGTAACTCTGTTAATATAAAACCCACTCTGCTCAAACTTCGTTACTTTTCCTAAAATTGGTATATTTATTTATTTATTTATTTATTTTGGGGCGTGGGGAATGAAGAGAGAAAAAAATATGAGCATTTTATGAGCATGGGATTTTGACCCCTCATATAAACATATGCATAATGCTGCGCTATACTTTGCGGCCACAAGCCGTTGCCATGCAACATTTATTGTTTAGGTGTCCTTTGATAAGCAGGCAGTCATATAATTAACTTGAACTATCTAGATCTGATAGATTTGGACATAAACGCGAGTGAAGTATAACCGGATGCGAGAGAGAGATCAGAGATCAGATCAGCTGCTGCTGACGGAGAACACGCAGCTCTGCATGATCACAGCTCCGCCGCTGTGACGGACCGTTGAGTGGAGCAAAATTAAATACACTAAGAGTTAGACCTAACACACTTAGCTGGTTTATCTACTCTGGAACTAGCTAAACTAGTTATAAATACATTTATTCTTTACTGTCGGGTCACTTATTACAGGTTCAGCGAGCTGCACGAGACTGACGGGCTGTCAGGAGAGGGAGAGGAAAAGAGAGCACCCCGTTTATTTTCCCCATTTTATTATCCAGAATTACTGTAAACCTTTGAATAAAGTAGTTAATCTACTATTAGTAGTTTGTTTAAATGCATTACTTATGTTTTTTTTTTTCATTAACATGAAATAAATCTCACGTACCCCCTGCAGTACTCCAACGTACCCCTAGGGGTCCGCGTACCCCCATTTGAGAACCACTGATCTAGATGGTAGTATGAAGTAGCAAATACAAAGTTTAGACATCTATAAATAGTTTGTCTTCCCAGAACAGGTCTATCAAAATGCAGAAATATCACAGCATATTATGGAAATATTTAACTGTTTTATGACAATCGTAATCTTTTGGACAGAGCAAGCAATTTCAACCTCACCGTAAGATCTGGGATCTCTGTATAAAAACGTGTTACATTTTTTTATACCTGAAGCGATTCAGGCATAATATTGATCATTCACATTGTCAAATATTTCAAGATACATGCCTCTGATAATACAGCCTGCCAATGAAAACATTTGTATATGATTTTTGGCTTTGAAATCACATTGAGCTGGACTCTCTCAACCCAGTGTGTTTCAAATGTTGTAATCCAGCAGTGATACGCAGGAAGCCATTGTTTAGAAGTTAAGTCTCTGGCAGTGAGGTATAGTACGGCAGGCAGCCGAGTACCATCTGGTGCATTGTTGGAATTATAAACATGGTTGGAAAGCTAGTTTGTTCAGAAGGATTGCACGGATGAAGCTGCCCATTACATAATCATATGCAGTGTTTCCCCTAGGTTTACTGCTTTGGGGGGGGGGGGGGGGACATTGGGATATATATATTTTAAATCCTCTGGAGCAGAGAGAGGAGCTGTGGATTATTGTTATTGATTAATGCATCAGTGTTTCTCAGGGTCAAAAACACTAAACTCACAACTTAAAATGAAAGCGTTTAGTTTATTTAATAAAAGAGCACATGTTCAATGTGAAAAGTGACAGTAGATATAGATTAGTTGCAATTTGGTGCTATATATATATATATATATATATATATATTTAAAAAATTTGAATCTTTTTTTGATTTTTTTTTTTTAAACACCTTGAATTTCAGGGGGGGCGCGGGGCTCCGTTGGCGGGGCTCCGTTGGCGGGGCGCAGCGCCCCTCCAAGACAATGGTAGGGGAAACACTGATATGCACAATGTTAATCACTGTTGTGTACATGTTGTCCAGTTCACTGAGTACCAGAGCTGTAATGATTCCAGGTCTGTGGCTACTCTGCTGCCCAAAATAGTCATCTACATGTTTCTGCTACTTCCAGCCTGAAGAGGAACATGTGAAATACACAACAGAATAGGAACTGTCTAATTTTCCTGTCTTCTTTTTTAAAAGTGTCAAACATGTCAAAACAATAGAAGAACATCTCTGATAACCCGAACCCGCTTTTACATTTCCACGTTTTCCTACCTCCTGCTGAGATTCTCCCTATGGAATTTCACACACTACGTTTGTTCTTTTTATAGCAGATATTGCTTTGAAAGTTGGAGAAGATGAGATGCTTATTTCAGGCTGGTAAAAATACAAATTGTATCTCTCAAATCAGTCGGCATCCCGGGTAGAGATGATACTAAATATGGCCAGTTTTCAAACTTCAAACGGAAACATCAGAGGTTCATAAATGCCTCAGTCATGAAAGCAGAAGGCCTATTTATACAGATGATGAATGTGGAATATATTGTGGAGTGTATCAGCCTTTGCAGAAGTCAAGTCTCAAAATAAGCCTTAATGTTGAGGATGTTTGTTGTATTATCCTTGACGTTTAAAAAATCTCCAAGACAAGATGACGCCTTTTGGCTGTTACAGTTTTCTCTGCAGACCCTCTCTGCTGTTTATCCCCTCGTACGCAGTGACCGTTTTACTCCCAGCCTGATTCAGATGCATGTCGACTCTCGCTGGTGCTCCTGTGTTTATATCATGCTTCATTCTACATCGTCTCACTGGTAGGTGTCTCTGGCTTGAGTCATAATTCTTCCATGCAAGGAGCTGGGAGTCGGATCAAACGTGTCACTGCCTCCCCCTTCACCTTGGCCACCAACATCCTCCCTGGGGGTGTAGCTAGTAACTGACACCAGCACACTCTCTCCATCTTTTCATGTCTGTCTTGCTTTGAGACTGCAGTGGCTCTCTAATTGAACTAGGCCCGCAACGCTCAGGTGGAAGTGAATAACTAATGTGTTCATCTTCCTCCTCTTCTGTGTCTTATGCTCACTGTGTGGGACAGAGAACCGACCAAAAACAAAAGTGTAATTTGCTGTCGATAAACATCCACCATAGGTTGCTGTCATTATAAGGACTATAGCCAGATATGGTCTCCAGCTGCTCTGATCTGGGTGAATCCACACGCTCACAGTGTCACCCGAACGCCTGCCAATGGCCAACGGTGCCCCATTCCTCCTTCTCCCCCCTCTGGGCTCTGGGAAGTGGGGACGGCGAGCCAGCTCCTCAATTAAATATAACCCCACATCAAACGGCCTGTCAACATGCATTAGAGGTCCTTTGTATAGATAAGAGGCCAAAATAAATTACCAGAACTATCATAGTCTCTGCGGCTCCCATAGGCTTTTTATGAAGGATTTAAAGGGGAGAACAAATCCTGACTTGCATACTGATATTCTCTCCATTAAATACATTTTTTCAGACCAGATTCATCCCGTAAAAGATGTATTTCCCACCATTTTCAATTAGCATAATTAGGCTGCATTTTAAATCGCGCTGTACGTCTCGTCTTGTTGGTGCGTTATAACGGAGATCTAATGCGACAACAGTCGACCTTGATGTGTGTGTGCTTTCACAGCGGAACCTATCCCTTTTCTGTCATCCTCATTAGCTTTGGCAGCTCCTTTTATCGCCTTCTTCTCCCTCCCCCTTGCCTATATTTTGCATCTCTGCAGACTGACAGAGAAAATAGGTCATTAGTTAGACAGAGAATATGAGATGGAAGGAGCAGGCAGGGGCGAGATCTGTGAGAAAACTGCTATGAAATATTGATGACAGCCATTCACGCTGTGAAGGGCCAAACTGCACTGAGACAAGGCCTCTGTATATATCACCACTGTTTGGATGTTACAAATTAGGAAGTTATCACATAGACTTTAGTTTGTATTATTTAACCTTATAAATCTGAAAAAGATATGTGAGAATTATGTTTGGTAATTTAAATGCAGTCAGTATTATATGTCTTATAATAGTAATACATCCATGATTGTTAAAGCTAGAGCCTTAACCTCATGCCTAAATACTGCCATGGATTATATGAATTATACAATGGTTTATCAATACTCTGTGTGAAATGCATTTGTCAGGGTTGCATTTAGTAGTAACTCATATTGTATTATAACCAAACTAAAGAATACAAACACAAAAGTGTAATCACTTTTTATTTATCTGTTTTCAAGTCTGCTTTATTTATGTCTGTATAGGCCGTTGTTGTGAGTGTGGACGGTCGGAGCATATACTGCGTTAGCTTAGCCAATCTCCATTTAGAAAACACGCATTTTAAAAGGTTTTTCGCCTGCCGTCTGTCTGCAGACTTGTCAAAGCATTAATTCATGGTTTTTACTAACCGGTATCAGTATGTTGTTACTTCGGCATCATTTTGAAACGTGTATTACAATTAAATCACGGTCAAATATATTCATCTTGTTGTAGTTGTAGCCCCCTTAGCCAGCGATTCTCTCTCTCTAGTTTAGCATACTCAGCCCGACTCAGCCTGGTTGTTGGCCCGGAAAGAACCTCGATTTTATGGGGCCAGAAAAACTGTGAAATAGTACCCGCTAGCCGGTACTACGCCAAGTGGAAACGCAACCAAAAACGGGCCGGGCACGGCACGCTTAAAGCGAGCTCCGCGCTGTATTGGAAATGGTCAGTTTAAGGCCCGTCCGGTAGTGCACCTCAAACAACTCAAACAAAGTATTTCTAACTTCTAACACCTTGAGTGTTTGCGTAGCTTGGATTTTTCGCAGCTCTTGTGTAACGTGGTTTCTTTTTGTGTCCAGAGCTACAGGAGCAGGGGGGATGAACCGCGAGGAGGCCCCGGGGAAGTCTCCTGAAGACATGTACGTCCAACAGAAAGTGCGGGTCCTGCTCATGCTAAAGAAAATGGGATCAAATGTAAGTGCAGTCTTGCCTAACACAAACTTTGGTTGTGCAACATTTTGGACATTTACAGATTAAAGAAATAAAAAAATAAAAAAAAGTGCTGTCTATTGTCCAGCTTATGCACATCAGTGGTTGTCTCTTAAACAGCCATCAAGACAAATAATTATCAAAACCAATAGAAACATTATTTCCTAACAGAATCATTATTATTGTAAGTCTGTATCTATTAATTAGATTTGTCTACAGTAAAGTCTCCTTTCCATGCCAACTCACAATTGTTTTCAAAGAGGCACAACTTCCAGGGACTGAAAGACTGACTTACATTAGCATGAGAAAAACATTAATTTGCTGTCCATTAAGATAACATTTTGTGTGGTTTTATAACTGGAAATGTAAATTGTTTTCTCTTCAGCTGACGCCCAGTGAAGAGGCATTTCTCCGGAATTACGCAGGTGTGGTCCACAGTCAGATGAGTCAGCTACCACAGCACAACATAGACCAGGGTAAGACCTCGGCACACACACTTTATAGTTAGTGTAGTTTGAATGTTTCATATCTATACAACAATTGTTTTTGTCCTTAAAAGGATTGAAGGCCTTTAAAAATAACATTTACCTCAGCTCACACGCCACCTCCACATGTCATAACAGTGTTACTTTGCTCAGACGTCAAGAAGCAAAAATCCCTTCACATGCATCTCTCCTCTTGAGTCTTTAACCCCAACAGGCGTAACGGATTGAGGCTGACTCACTCGCTTTGAGATTACTCACGCAGCAAACACTGAGAAAGACTGGAACAGTGACTCAGCATCAGTGCAGCGCTGCTTCTCCCAAACGGCTCAGAAGGGATATGATAAAGCAAATCACTGTTCGTACTGTGTGTTATAAGACTTGTTTACCCAGTGGTGATCATCCGTTTCAATCCACCAGAGAGCACTGTTGAGCTGTCTTTATCTCATCTACAGATTTACATTTGTCTTACCACAAGAGGGCGATAGATGAAAACAGTGTGTGTGGAGGCACTGCAGTTACCTGAGAAGATGGCAGCAAATTGTTTCATATGTTCTATAACTAGCCTTATAAGGGGCTTTCCAGGCTCAGCCCAAACACTGCCTTCAGATAGGAGCCCTGCGGTCCTCCTGTGGACACCCTGTGGGGCCCGGGCCTTACTTTGTCTCTCATCATATTGGTCTCTCCGGGGAGCTTTGAGTCAGGAAAATTGCCTGCGACATTGGCCCGTGTCCTTTCCCTCCTAGGAAACAATCCGAGTTGTTTGTATTGATACATTTGTGATTACCTGTGTTGAAGAAGGTTTGGGGATTATGGTAAAACAGGGTATTAAGAAGTCACAGTGACTTTGTCTTGTTGTCCTTCACCGGTCCTTTAATCATCTTTGCTTGAACCTGCAGGGTATTAAACTGCATTGTCACGTTTTGGTAAAATCAGCCCCAATATATGAGGTGCATCAGAACAATGTTAATGTGGATCATTGCATCTTTGGCAATAGTGTATATTGCATTATTACAATGTGTTTCTTCATTTAGCAGCAGTACATTACATCAGATGGGAAGGATGGTGCTTGAAAGGTGCAGCACCAAAAACGGGTGATCTTAAGTGATTCATTTATGAAGGATGTTTCCTGTCTGTTCTAACCACCGTAGACTGGATTTCAGTTTGTGCTGCATGCCCTCGGTCTCTGCCTTTGTGCCCTTTAGTAGATACAGGACTCCATGTCTCTGTACAGTCAATACTGCTAAGAAGGGCCTCATTAATAATGGACGAATACGACTGGTGAAAGGTGCTCCGAGTATGCATTATACATCACAAAAATAGTCACATTTAGTGTAATTTGGCAGACTGCCACATCCTCAGTGTGCCAATAAATTATTTGTGGTCTGCGTCTTTTCTGAAGTACCGTGATTAGGCATCATGGAGATAGCTGAGAGTTAATCACTTTTAAATATCCAACGCTGAAGGACAGCAGTTTGTAGGTGTAGAGGCTAAGCCAACGCTTTAAGCCTCTGAGGATCCGCTATGTTGGCGTAATTGACGCACACAAAGTATCAGCACATTGGGGATCCTTTTTGAGGTTGTTTGAGTAGGGAATCACACACTGTTTGATCTCATTTAGATTTGGTAATAGGGGGGGAAATGGATGAAAGGGAACATTTTATTGCCTAGCAACTTGCACAGTCATTGCCTCTTAAAATGTATTTTCACAGAAGCACAGCCTTCCAACAAAGTGTAATATAACAAAGCAAGAATTGATTTGATTCATCTTGAAGTATCATCAATTCTGTAATTATTATAATACAGTTTAGGGAAAAGATATACACATTGTTTGAATTTCAATGTTTGAGTTGTACTTGGCATAGTGGAGGGATCTCAGGTTGTTCTCTCTGTGGTTCACTCTGTTCTCACTTCATTATAACGGCGGTAGACCTTTCCCCCGTCCCTCTGTATGCAGCAGCAGTACTGTCTGTCCTGGTTGACCGTCACACAGCAGCAGACGCACTCCCTCTGTGACTAGCCAGCACATTTCCAGGCAGAGGTTGTTTTTCTATGTCTCGTCTTTTATCATTGTTGAATCTGCTCACAGCAGTTTCACCTTTAGACTTCGTACCGGCTAGAGCAGCTTCAATTTATTTTACTTTTTCTGTATTGGTTAGCTTGAACAATACTTCAATTGTGAGAGACTCTTCATAATCTCCCACTTGGCTGTGAGTTAAAAGGTTTTCTGAAAAATGTCTAGTTTGAGCTGTAGAAATCAGTGGTGGGGAAAAAATTCGATACTGAGATGCATCATGTTTCTTTATGTAGAAAAATCTATAATTGGAGAATGTAAAACCCAATTCTGTAAATTATGATCGCCACTCACTGTTAGATTGGGCAGTCTGTCTATTTATGATGAATAATTAAAGTACATTTGTCTGTTTATTTTATAAATAAATATTACATGTTAAGCTTTAAAAGTAACAAGTAGTCTCATGGTGAGAAAAATAAATGAATCATGTATAGAAATCAAAATGAAGATTTTATGTGTCTAATCAAATGACCTCTGAAACGTATCTAACCATAAGGTGCCTAGAGATTTCCACTTCCAGTAGAAATGAAATCCACATTGCTTTTTCACTTCCTCTGCTTCACAGTCTCAAGATAAAAATAGCGTAATATTGGTTTGGTCAAAAAAAGCACACTGTTTTCTTTTGTTGCTGCTCAGCCTGCTGATGACTCACCCCTTTCAGCTTGTCTGATTATACCTTTTAGTCTGCTACTCTATAGGGTTTATAGTAACTTTCATCCACCTTCACACAATACGAGTCGTGTGACTGCTGTTAAATTGAAAAAGCATTCAGGCTATCAGCACAGGAGCCACCATTAGCGGTGTAATGCTCCAGGCAAAGAGGTTTTCTAGCCACAGTATCTAGCGATGTGAAACCAAAGCTAGTTTAAAGAAGCATGGTGCTCCAATACCAGCGTCCTCAGGGGGTCTCATATAGAGCTATAGTGTCACGTGTCAGACATGGCTTTGTCGATCGAATGGAGGCATCATGCTTAGAGGGCGCTGGAGGCAGGACATGGAGAAGCACTCGGTTATTGATTACTCTTAGTCAATGCTGGGCTGCATTAAAGACATAAATAGAAGTGCCGGTGTGAGAGCAGCAGACCAAAGGTAATGTGGGTTACATCCTTGCTGTTGTCAGCTTTAGATTATTCTGATAAGAAAACAAATGTGTAGGGGATGCAGTGTAATCATGAGGTTTTGTCATTCTTCCTCACAGCCATTGATCGGACTGATTGGAAAAGAGTCTCTCCTTCAGACTCTGCTCAGCTGTCAAATATTATTCTGCCTCCTTCTTGGAAAAACAAGAGAAAAACCAACTCTTTGTCTGCCACTCGTATTTCTTTTAAGTCTGTGGGTCATGTAATTTGCATTTCAGATAGCTTTTAATTGCCTGATTAGCATACATGCAAATACATTATTTTGTTTTTGCAATTTAATCAGGCCAAAGAGGAATTCTCAGCCAAAGGCTCTGGAGCTTTTTTCTTATTCAGCTTTTTAGCTGAAGTACCTTGATGTAGCTTAATTCTGGCAGTGATTAGGACGGTGGGCGAGCTTGCATGCTATGTATAAACGCTGTTATTGTGATTGGAAATGAAGTGAGAACTCATTAAATGAGGCATGGGTTTTTTCGGGGCTCTGTGTAAATTGCTCCAGTTTTGGTTATACTAAACTCTGTGTTGCATAGAGCGTTGACTGCATAATACGAGATGCACAGAAGTTTGTCTTTTATCAGCTTTGGTTCTTCCCCCTTTATCTCTCTTATCCCATGCTTTTTATGGCCGAACAACATGTGTCACTTTGAACAATACAGTTTGTCACAGCTAAACGTGTCTGATTGACAAGGAAAGTTTACTCCTCCCCCCAGAAGCATGTCTCAGGGCCTCAACAAAAGGGATAGAGGAGGATAGGGTTTCCATAGCAACCTCTGTTGTCCTGGGAAAGCTGAGGTCCCTTGATGCCTTTGGTGTTGCTGCAACGTGCTGCGACGTGCTGCATCGGTAGATTGGAGCAGGTGTCATTGGGAGGCAAGCTGGAGTGCTAATTACACAGAGAGAGTGTGATGTACCAATCTCTCTCTGTCCCTCTCTTTTCTTACACAAACATGAACTGTCAATTCACCATCTTGTTTAGATTTCTCTGTATTACACTCCTTGTATAACGCAATCCTTTAACCCACCTTTTCAAGTGGGAGCCATGTGACAACGCCTTTTATGTGGCAACTCGGCCAGAGTGCTATTGATACTTCATGTATCCTGTTTGTCACTGAAGCATGAATCACAGCCAGATTTATGAAGTGTCACGACTACCTGACTCAAATGCTGAAAGATTCTGATTATGAGTATTGGGATCTGCTCGCTAAAAAAAACACCTGCGGAAGATGATTGACTTTCCTGATGTGGCCCATAAAATGTGGAATTGACTAAATCTATCTTTTACGGCTCCATTTAAAAGAGATAATGTCTCTGAGAATTGTTTGCTGCTGATTGAAACACATCTCAGAGCTTGTTAAATCTCTGTAATATCACAGTTTGAAGTGAAGAACACAAATCTGACATCACTGGAAAACTTCATCAATCATTTGCAAAACCATCAATATACCATCAAAAATAATAACCAAGCAGCAGTTAGAAAAGTAGAAGTCTGATCTTGCATGTCCCTCTGATACTCATGTGAAACTCAAATCAATTATAAAAGAGGTAGAAGGTGATAGCCAAATGCTAAATAATATAAAATGTATGGTGAGTTAGAAAGAGAGAGATAATTGAAGGGCTTTATACTTGAGTAATTAACTCGAAGTGTCTTTATGTGACAGATGATGTGTTAAATTACACCCTCTGTGTGTTTGTTGATTTAAACATGTTAAGCTGGTGGGTGGGGGGGCGTTTTGTGTCTTGATCCTCTGAGCAGACCCTCCACATATCGTGACCTGAAATGATGTCTCAGCTCTGACTAATGCCTCAGTGCTTCATCCCTGCACACTGGAGTCATCATATGGCTGCTGCTCTATTATTCAGACTGCAGCACGAAGCCTTTACCTTCAGACAAACTCCCTCTGGGTTCATTTCACAGCTTCTTTACCCACGGAGGCTTCAGTGGGACTTGTGTGTTTTTAGTTCATTTCAGCCTACCTATTCAACCAGATATTGATATAGTCTCTCAGTGTAAAGGAAGACTTTGTTTGTGATGAATATAAGGATTTTGTTCTGGCTGCTTATAGTGGGCTGAGGATGCAACTAATGATGATTTTAAATACATCTCAGTTGCTTTTATTTATTTAGGAAAATTCTGCGAACAGTGTTTCCTCTGCATCCATTTAGCAGTGGGGCACCACGACGACAGCAAAGAATTAACAACATTGTCATTTAGCCCTATTGCTATTTATAGCTACATGCAGATGCTTTAGAAGTTATGATTATATAATATTTCAATATATATTTTACATTTAAACTTACATTTTAAACATAACCCAAACATCAGCAGATATGAGACGCAACTATAAAATGATTGCCCAAAGAACCACAGCTTCATGATTTTTCCCAACCAACGGAACAAACCTGAAGATAATCTTTTCAGACATTTGCACGTGATCAATGACAACTGATACTCCAATTTTCCTTTAAAGATAATTGCCAAATAACTAGAAAAGTATAATATATCTACATTTGAGATATTGGCTTAATGACCATCTCCTCTGTTTATTAATTTATTTGAAACAACAACTTTTCAAATATATCAAAAATAGTTCTGCTTTAACCCATTTCCCTGGAAAGACCATTAGAAGGGGCTTTTCTTCCTCTCAAAGCATTAATGGAGTACAAATCGGATGACATGCCCGTTGTTGCTGTTATTTATGTAATCCTCGGCTGGGTGAGGAGGGGATCAGTGCACATGGGAGGGAGGGGCCGGACACAGAGCTGCATCCTAAGTAAGTAAAAGAGTAAGAGCTGTTTGCTCATTGGCAGCAGCGTCCACTGATGCAGTCTGATTTCTATCTGTCGCTAGGCAACAGCTTTGAGGGACCTAACGTCCCCATCACTGTGTGTGTGTGTGTGTGTGTGTGTGTGTGTGTGTGTGTGTGTGTGTGTGTGTGTGTGTGTGTGTGTGTGTGTGTGTGTGTGTGTGTGTGTGTGTGTGTGTGTGTGTGTGTGTGTGTGTGTGTGTGTGTGTGTGTGTGTGTGTGTGTGTGTGTGTGTGTGTGTGTGTGTGTGTGTGTGTGTGTGTGTGTGTGTGTGTGTGTGTGTGTGGTGTGTGTGTGTGTGTGTGTGTGTGTGTGTGTGTGTGGTGTGTGTGTGTGTGTGTGTGTGTGTGTGTGTGTGTGTGTGTGTGTGTGTGTGTGTGTGTGTGTGTGTGTGTGTGTGTGTGTGTGTGTGTGTGTGTGTGTGTGTGTGTGTGTGTGTGTGTGTGTGTGTGTGTGTGTTGGATGCTGTCATTAGGCTCGTGTTGCACACTGTCCTGGCTCTGAACTGCCCGTTACACAATGTCCCTCCTTCACACAACCGCACAATGATTCAGACTGGCATTTATTGTGATAAATGTGTCTTATTGCAAGTCCCTGCGCCAAACCATCCTGTGAGTAGTGCTTTTCTGCACTAGCTCCATCTCCCCACTGTGCCATTACATAATTGTCTCATGTTTGAACATCTTTATCCCCCCCTGCTGTGTCAAAGCAGAGATTTTTGTTTTTACTGAGTACCAACAGCATGTGTATGCCAGTATTATTTTCATCAATCTCTCTAGTTTCGTCTCCTGCTTCTTCTCTGCCATAACCTAATTTCGGTTGGCCAATGAGCTTTCAAGAGGAACTTGAGAGTTCATATTAAAAGGCTCCCTCCCCCAAAAGTCTGGATCTCACCAAGTCGATCTGAATTCAGCAAAGAAAGATGCTAATTATCTTTCCCGTAGAGATAGCCGAATGAAACACACAATTCAGTCTGGATGGTCTGTGCTGTCTGATGAGGAGGGTCCGCCCTTTGTGCCAAATACATGTGGAAGCTCACAGTCCCTCCCTGGCCTACTTTTCTCTCCACAATAATTAAATCTAACAAGTACTCAAAGGCTGTGGCGAGGAGGTTTTTTTATAGCCGACGTGTACGAGGTGCTGTGTGAAATCTGCAACCGTCTGCCGAGGTGTTGAACTCGGTGTTAATGATATTTATACGATCTTAGCCTCACATGTCTTAATGCATGCTTCCTGTAGGCTATGGCACATAGTTGTCATTTACTCCCCTCGTCTTTAAGAGACAGGTTTTAATTAAAGACTGAGGAGACTAGAGGCGTTTGGTCTCCCAATCAATTTATTTCCATTACCAAGAAGCAAATGCATTTTCACCAGGCGGCCGAGCATGACAGTGCACGAGGGATTTTAATACTTTCCCACTTCAAGCGATTTCAGCTCTCTATTTTCAGAAGGACTGACTTTTCAAAGTGAAGTACTTGCCAAAAAATCGGGCCTATATGAGAGAAGAGTTGGACATAATGGGTCACTGAAAAAGTATCGTTTATTTAATGGTATTTACTCAAACAGAATTGGAAATGTATATTAGCTTTTCAGGGAGAAGCAGAGGATGAATCTCAGTCGGCAACAGACCAATGAGTGATTCCTTGTTAAACAACAGCCTGCAACTACAGCTTTGTCATCATTAACTTGGTGAAAGGGAAAGAGGAACATAAGGAGAAACAAGAAATCAAACCCTTTGTGCTGTGGATCCTTTCAGTGTCTCTACTGTTGGCCCAGAGATTATTTTTCCCCAGCTCAGTGAGGTTAATATCATCAGCTGGAATCTAGTATTGTTTACAGACGGACAATCTTGTGCTTATGGCCTGAGCTGCCACAGCAGAGGAGATTGAATGGCATTGAAGCCTCAGATCTGAGTGTTATCATGGCAGCACAGGATGCTGCTGTCAGCAGGTCACTGGATGTGTTACAGTTTCTCCCGGCAGGGCACTGGAAGGGCAGGTGGCAGCTTTCCACTACAGGTGAACATGGCACTAGATACAATTACAGGCCTGCACCAAAAGGATTTTCCCAGCGCTTTATGCACCTGCGGATTTATAGTCACAACTGACAGGATTTACAGGATACTGACAGGATCCTATGACCTGAAGAAAACTCAGATAGCTTCACACTGAAGAATCCAGAATAAAATGTATTGTCATTTGCACAATACAGCGTGGTTTTGTCAAGGAAAATCTTAATTCCCAGGCTCCACCTACTGTGTGACACACAATATATACATAACAATAGTGCGAGAAGGAATAGAAATAAATGTAAGGGATACAATGGTGCAAGTAAAATTCAGAGTAGCTAGACTATATACATGTCAAACATAAAAACAGAATGTGAAATTAAATATTGTACAAAAATACTCCAACCAACCAGGATTGAGATTTTGTTTTTGTTCGTAGCAGTTGCCACACGTTCCCAGAAAGAACACAGTGAGCCGAAAAATAAAATCTGAGCCCAGTTTATTGCTTTGGACACATTTGAGCTCCTTTTGCCAGATTATTATGGATATCTGAACGCAGATCTTTTTGTGCCTTTTTCTGTTTATATAAGTCTTTGGTTCACTCGCCAGTCTCAGACAGAAACGGGAGCGGGGGGACCCTGAGCTTCAGAAGCCTGAGCACAATGCATTTTGGTACATGTAGGCACTGCAGCTAGGCTCTGTGAACAGGAAAATTCAGTTTTTATGGACATTTATTCTTCCATTGAAACTGATTCAACATCCATATAAAATGTGGCATTTCTTTTATTTCCCTTGACAGTACTCAATTCTAACATCAACATTATATTACACTGTTCTTGGTTTTCAATCTTGCCTATTTTTATGCTTTTGTTGCATTGTTTTACGTTGTAGAATAGCAGGTTGTGTTAATATCTCTGTCTGTGTAATTGAAATCCCAAACAGTGTATTTATTTGCACGACATGCCTGACATTCTGCTCTTGGTTTTCAGGTGCAGAGGACGTGGTCATGGCGTTCTCGCGGCAGGAGGCGGAGGATCGGCGACAGTGACACTGGGCCCCTCAATCTCCCTCCACTGCACCCCCTCTCCACCCGTCCCCCCCCCCCGCACGTGATCCACACAGCAACCCAAACTCCACAAACGCGACACTGATGAGCTCAGGAGAGGAGGGGGCCCAGGAGAGACAGGAGAGGAGGGGATGAGACTCCAGGAGGTGGCTGCCTCGCTCTCTCCCCCCCAGCCTCTTCACCCCCCCCCCCCCACTTGAGCTGGCCCACCATGACCTGAGAGTCACTATGTGCTCAAGCCTCGGCACCAAGGCAGTCAGTGAAATCACTCGCAGGCCGTGTGGATGAATATCAAATGTAGTTTTTTCTTTTTTTTTCCCTATGGGTGGCTTGGTTTTCTTTTTGTATTATTTTGTCTGTGTTGAGACATTAGGCAGTGTTACGTGGTATATCTGCTGCGGTCACTGGAGCAAAGTGACCGGCAGCAGCTGATTGAAGCAAAGAGAAATATAGTTTGGGTCAAGCAGCGAGTGTGATGGTCGATCGTGTTAGGGGAGACATTTTTTATTATATCTGCTTACCCTAATGGGGCTGACATTTTTTTGATTTAGCTGATGTGTCATTAAGGCTTTTGTATTGTCACACAAGGGGCCTCATTTATAACATTTGAGGTGTATAGAAAAAGGCCTGAAATATGGCAACGCCATCTCCCACGCAGCTGTTCTAGATACTCTGGAACATTTCTGAGACTTCAATGCTGAAGACAAAGTAGCCAAATAAAGTTTAATGTATTAATAACTCTTCTCAGAAAATTAATGTTTCTTTTATATATAGTCCTGCCTAGCCTGTGAGAAAGGTCAGGCGGCAGCCGTAAGCATTCTGGGAACAAAACCCCTTTTGTTAACGTATTTCTAGGGCGGGTCCTAACACAGGATGCAGCACCTGAGCAGCAAAACATTAACATGCAGACAGAAAGAGGGAAATGCTGAGTGAAAAAGGAGGACAATGACAGGCCAATTACAGGCTTATGCCCACAATCTACACCCGATTGGTCCAGCTGTTTTACATTAAATCCTGTCCACCCTTTTACGGCAGGACGTTTGAAAACGTAGAACCCAGACACATTTACAGTGCAGTGAGCCCTGGTTACCTCTGGCTTTTTGTTTAGTACCATGCATAAACAACGTGTTTTTTTTATTTAAGAAATTGCCTTTCTAATCCTGTGGCGCTCACTGCTGTTGTGATTTGCTAACCGTCTCTTACAGGTCAACTAAGAAATGACCACAAAGCGTTACGTCTTACTGAATCAACATCTGTGACGTTTAACAAACATCCCTCTCTGTGTATTTGCAGTCTGACCTTTTTTGTTCACTTACAAATATTCGAATGACACACTGATTGATGTGTGTGTTAACACTCACAGCAGGCCTGCCATTAATCCTTCATGTTTAATTATGGGAGTGAGCAGGTAGGGTGCCGAGGCTAGGGACTGGGATTGATGGGTGAAAGGAGATTTTAGAAAGCACACGATTTTCTTCTCAACAAATCTACACAGCAGTTTTATAAACGAGGCCCCTCTTGTTCTTCTGCTGCTTTGTTTTGAACCATAGGCTGTTGAAAGTGCAACAACCCTTTCTCTTGTGGAAAGCGTAACAATTAAAGACACTAGGAAACATAATCTCATGAAACACAGGTGTACACATTTTCCCCAACACTGGTTTGCAGTTGTTCCGGCATGTAAAATCTTTTTTTGTTGTACAAATAGATGGGAAAATACAATAATTGTGCCAATTGTCATTTTTGGTGTTTTTTTATCTGTAAAATGACATTAACATAATGATCTAAGAAGAATTGATAATAGACAAGCTGTAGTTGTAATTTATTGTTTACTGAATTGACTTCCTCGAACACATCATTAAAGAGAGAACCAGTAGATAGTTTAATTTCATCAGCGGTGGCTCTTTGTTCACACTAAAATCACACAAACTCTAATTTTTAACTACCTGTTACTAAAACCATGTGAAGCCAAACGTAAGAGCTGTGTGCTATTTCTCACTGTTATTTGCAAAAAATACATTTTGATATCTAGCGCAGAGATTTTATGTTTGGTTCAATGGATAAAAGAAAACTTTTTAACCATGTTTTTATTCCTTCAGTGATTTCAAAAAGTATCTTCTCTGTGTTAATTCAACTGGAAAAGCTCAAAGGAATATATGTTAACAACCAACATGTTTTTCTAGTGACATGCTCAATATTTAATGTGTTTTAAATACAGTTTGTTAACTTGTATAACTTAAAAAATAATTGTAACGTAATGTTTTAAAGCCAAGCATGTCTGCCTCGTGATTTACAATGTTCATTCAGCCGAAGACTTTTGAAGCCTCGGCACATTGACCATTGTTTGTACATTCTTGACGTTTGTGGAAGCTACTATCACTTTTAAAATGTTTCAGAAAAAAAATTATAATTTTTTTTATGGGTCAAGTGTTATCCATTATTTGTTGTTGGCAATAACTTCTATTTGAATGTCTTCAGCAATCATTGTTCATGTAATCAGCCAACAGATCTATCACGCTGTCCGCCTATGACTAAGACATTTGTCTTTTTATGTTTACTTAAAAAAAAAAAAAAACATTCTTTATTTGTCTATGCATTGTTTTTTCTCTCTTTTAAAGGTGTCTTACTGTACATTTTACCTATCGGGTTGTTCTACAGCCTGTAGTCAAGTTGTGGATGAATGTATGTGTGTGTGAATGTGTCATCATTCAATTTGCTACCGGTTTTTGATTTTCAGCATGCGGTTGCGTTTGACTAGGATCGATGTATCTTTTTACTGTGATGACCTTGCCTAATTGTCCTATTTTTTGTGTTGCTTTTTATATTTTATTTTCCTCTCAGTCGACATTGATTAGTTGGTTTTGTTTTTGTATGGCTGCTGACCATGTCTTGACTTAATGCTTCCAAATCCTATACCAACTGAACCATTAAAGATATTTTAAACAGTGCAAAGTTACCTTTCCTTCTTTTCTCCTCAATTAAGTTGAACGTCACACATGCAAGCTCCAAGATTAGAGAAGTATCTTTGCATACATGGCTGCTTGTCTACAGATAAGGCCTCGTGCTCGCCATAATATGGGTAAAACCATGACTTCTTTGTTCTCCTCTTATCAACCGTATATGTACAGGAGGAAAATTATACTTTTGTTTGATAAGTGAAAAATGCAGTTTGTAAACAAAGACTGTTGATACAAAATCTGAAATCTTCAAATCAAAGTCCAAGGGGGCCAAAGATGACAAAACAATGTACTAACGGTCTACTAACCCTCCGGGGCTTTCAAACATAACTTGGTTTTCATTTAACTGTCAAAGTTCAAACTTTTCCCATAATGGGCAGAAGCCTGCGAGCTAGTTCAGGCCGTCAACTCGAGCACCAATGATACATTTACATGTGACGCTCCTCTTCCCTCTTACAACCAACCAAACCAAAACATCTAATCATCACTCAATGTTGTATGTAAATCTGTGGAGTGATGAGGCCCAAGCCTAGACGCCAAACTCAAACTATATGCTGCTTCTAAAAATCATATCAAAGAACATTCTTTATCTGAGTGACCCACAGTGACAATGTCATGTACTTTTTTGTACATATATGTTTGTTTTCATGCACACCACCTTACATTCTTGGCCTTTCAGCTGCACAAAGACTGACAAAAATCTTTTATCACCTGTTAGCCTGTTCCACCATTCTTCGTTTTCCGAGGCTAGGAAGGGTTCTTGCCTCGCTTCTGAAGGACCTGACTCGGAAGACATGTCCTACCAAGGAAGCGTCCTCGACATTGAGAAACACCCTCTGTGTTTCTCCTGTGCTAATGATGAACATCTGTTCACTGTTCCCAGGCCTTCTTTCACAGATGCAAGAAAATCCTGCGATTTAGAGGGAGAAAGCTCTGGGAATAACACGCCAGCTGTCGGCACATTTCTCAATATTCATGCACCAATTTACAGTCAATTTATGTCTTTACTGACATTAAAACCTATTTTTCTCACGAGAACAAATTCCTGCTGAGAATCTGAACTCCAACCCTTGGTTTTGGATCCTGGAATGATGACTATGTATCAAAGCCTGTTTTATATAGTCGTTTGAATTTAAGGTGAAATTGTCTTCCTTGTCACAAAACATAGGTCTTTCTACGCCTGCTGACGTTTCACATTATAATTAGGTTTTAAACCTATACCTCTCTAAGACATAGAGAGACCCAATGGTGTCCATCCGTCATTTCATTGTCCTCTGCTGGCTGAAATGTGGACTAAGTGCAGTGTGTGAGAGACATTAGCTCTCTCTCTCTCTCTCTCTCTCTCTCTCTCTCTCTCTCTCTCTCTCTCTCTCTCTCTCTCTCTCTCTCTCTCTCTCTCTCTCTCTCTCTCTCTCTCTCTCTCTCTGTACACGTGAGCCTGCTTGTGTTCATTTGATGTCAGACAGATCAGACCCAGAGCTCAACACACAGCTCCAGCCAACTGATAACTGCCACCAGCACCTTCACATCACTGTGCGTGTGCGTGCGTGCGTCTGGACAGCATACAGCAGTCGCTATATGTGCGTCCACACACTGACTGATGAAGGTTGTTTAAAAACTTCAGGGTGACACGTGACCACTTTCAGTAAGTGTTTGGAAAGTCAAGTTTAAAGTGGAGCGAAACCACTCTTAAGTGGAACTTAAAGTGGTTTCATGCAATTTGTATTTTTTGAGTATCAAACACCTATACACTGAGAAGGTGGCAGTAAAAGGCTTTCTGCTTTACAGAGAACGGCATCTGTGTGCTTTATTTAAAATGTTCTTCTCTTTTCTTAGGATTAATAAACCATTGCAAATGCACTGGATCATGTGAAAATAGGCCTTAACTTCTGAAAAGTCTGGAGATGCGTGGTTATTGTTGCAAGACAGGAGCTCTCATGTTTACGCACAAACTAACTAATCATAACTGAAATAGGACTGAAATAGATCATGTATTTTAAGACTTTAGTTCAGGTGTGTAGTAACATTTTCTGGCTTGTACTGTTGAACTTAGTATTTCTCAAATCTTGACAGAGTTTAAAATCAACATATAATAATTGGAAATGCCTTTATTTTTATAAAGTTGAACCACATGAGTCTCCTGACTCGTAGCTAAAATATCTCCACCCCGTAAATTTGAGAGGAAGGATATAACTTTACAGCCCAAATGAATTTGATCAGCTTCACCTTTCATCTTCAAAGCCAAAGGAAAAAGCTGTGTGCAGTGGCTCCGAGAGCGAGGGAGGCAACTCCCCCTCCCACCTTATGACTCAACATTATTAAGTTAAAGCCAGGAGGGATCCACAGAAAAGGAGGGAGAGGCGTGCAGCCAGAAAGGGAACCTGCACGAAACTCTGAAGATACACTGTGGTCCCCCCAAAACCTCATGACTAATATATGAGCTTTTGTCTTAGTTCCTTCATCTAGCAGCATCTCAAAGAAACACTCCCTTTGATGCTCAGCCTCTACTGTTTGTTTTGGATCCCCCTCTTTTATGTAATCCTGCTGACGCAACCATCTGCCTTTGGCCTGTGCACAGCTATAGACACAGACATTTTTATTTTATGAAAATACTGAAAAGAACAGGATTCTTCCTCTTGCTCTGTATAGTTTAACTAAGCTTCATGGCATACACTCATAAGCCAAAGCAAAGTAAGGAGACAGCTAGGCAATTGGTGATTACGGCACAACATTTACTATAATATACATTTTTTATACAACTTTATTTTGTCCACCACTCTGGGTTATAACTAAATAGCTGCAAACGAAGGACATTTCAATTATCCCATCGAGAGATCATATTATTATTTTTGTTTCAATGACACCTCTAGGGCTCCAAAAAGAAACATGTTAAACATTATACCTCCTAACAATCAGCCGGTGCTTCAAGGATGTTAGCTTGATGTTTTCGGAAACGTTGGACCTCCACTACATCTGAAGTTGTGTGAGTGTGAACTTGTTTGGCTGCACCGCGTGACTTTGACTTTGTAAAAGTTGACCCTAGCAGGTCAGTGGAGTTTAAGAGGTCAACAAGAACATATTTAGTCTCACTGTATTTTAGGAGAGTCAGCAACTAGAGGCAAGAATTCTTCACCTACTTTTCATGCATACCTCTGAAAGCATTTTAAACCCACAGTGTGACATTTTTATTTTGCCACCCAGGTTAAGGGCCTTGTTTTATTGACACAAAACCCTTTCAGTTATGAGAAGCACTTTTTAAATCCTCCAGCAGTTCCCCACTGCACCTGGTCGCTCCGAGGCTGGGCCATATGTTGTTTGTCTGTGGACCACCTGTGTTACATCTCATTTTGTGACTTAAATAAAACATCCCAATTCCATCCGATCAACCACTGGCCGCAGGAGATTTGTTACAACAAAGATTTTTGCAGCTCCTGCTGTGTTTCCCTCCTGAGTGTTATGCACGCTGCTCCCCTGAAGGCGTTCTGAATCTAGCCATCTGCTCGTGTTCTATATAGCTGAGATATCTTTGACAGACGCTCATTTCCACAATATAATCTCAGAAAATACCTGTCCACCTCCAGGATTCCCACCACGGTGCTTTCACAAAGTGAGATTTATATCCTGTAGAATAGATCAGACAGTGTGTGGGCAAAACGTATGGATATGTCATCTCTGTTTTTTGCATATGATACATGTGAAGAGGACATTATTGGAGGAAGACAAAGAGTATTCAGTCTCTTCGTAAAGACATATGACGTGTGTCAAACTTATGACTGCTATGACCTTAAAGGTCCCCTATTATACTCTTTTTCAACAAATTCAAAGGTCTGAGATATATACAAAACATTTCTCTGAAGTGTTTGGCTCATGCTAAAGCGCTGATTCTGTGTCTGTAGCTTTAAATGCAAATGAACTGCCACTCCCCACTCCCCTCTGTGAAGTGTTTGGTTTAAAAGTACATGCAATGGTGCTCTGGGAGGACAGGTGATAAGGTGGGCGGGGGTTACCTTTGTTGGTTATTTGCTAATGGTTGCACAACCCAAAAAAACGTTGTGACATCACAAAGTTGCCAAAATCCGATCAGCTCATTTTCAGACAGCTTTTTAATATAAATGGATCAGGACAAAAAGAGAGATCATCTTTTTTCCTGAAATACATATTTATGTATAAAAGACATGAAAACATGGATTTTGCATAATAGGTGATCTTTAAATAGTGAAATCTCTAACTTACAGTAAGATTTGAAGATATAGTGTAGTGCATTTTCACACAGAAAATGAATACCACATTTCTAATGTTAAGCTATCCATCTTAAAGCTTCTAAACTTGGATGGTATCATTTTATAGGTGCTGAAAATGCATATATATATATATATATATATATAGGTGTTCCTACTCTGTGTGTAAATATAAGCTAAACGTTTTATAGATGTAATGACTATTTATGAATATACACTCAAGTTTCCGCTCTAGCCTCAAAATAACAAGAGGCTGGCTGTCATAACAAACCTTCTGGCTGTGCCATCAGGCCTGAAGTATGCATCATGCTGACTGAAATAAGCATGAGTGACTGCTGTTGCTGCAGGAACCGCATATACTTAGACAGTGTTCAGAGAATATCCAACTACAACAACAACACAAGTGCTGAAGCCAACTGCAATGCTGTCTGACACATGAAAGCTAGGAATCAACCATACAAACTCAGTTTCTCTGTCTTATTTTCCATTTTGTATTCAGGATTGTGGGAAAGGAGGAACGAGATAAAGATTCTTCCCTGAGGAGGTGGGAGAGAGAAGTGAAAGATGCACAGCCAGCAGCAGCCATGGCAGTGATTCATGAAACAGCTCTAAAGTTCAAAGCAGTATTTATTACTCGCTTTCTTTTAGGCGGATGATGGAGTCTGTAAACCGCAAACATAAACCACTTTAAATATTTAAGAGGCAGATACATTTGAGTGTATTTGCATGAGTTTTCTTAATCTCTAACATGGT